CACGCCCCCCACTTAGCGAAGAACACAGTATGGAGAACCTTCTTTGTCGTTTCTTGGCAGATATGGATATTTGACGGTCCTGCAGGTGAAGGTCGACTGTTGAGATTCAGGATGGGACATAGTGCTCCTCTTACCAAAATTCGATATTATGGACAAAATGGACAGCAGATTCTTAGCGCAAGTAAGTTCTTTTATGCTGTTAGTATTTCTTACATGTTGGGTGCTCAGTAGTTTATTAGATTTTATATTTACACCATTTTAGATTCAGATGTTCATTTGAGTGGAACTAAGCATTTATCTTTGGGTTTTACTTGTTTGGAGTACTGGAAGTATGTAGATGATATTACCTTCATCTGGTATGGCATACCCTTGAGAATTGTCAGATGCTGAAAATGTAGTCATTGTATCTTCCACTTATAATTCATTGAAAATCATTATTATTTAATCCCTTCTTAGTAGATGTTATTGCGTGCCCACTTCAAGTAGCTTCTAGTTCTTTCTTTTAAACTCCCACTCAGTAACTTAGCACTTTTCATATAACCTATGTTCTGTGATTCAAGCAACCACTGTTTTTGATGAAGCTTATTCCGGAATTTTCTCTGTATATCAACAGGTCAAGATGGAACTCTTCAGTCGTTTTCCACGATACATGAAAAATTTAACAAAAGCTTAGGACATGGTAGGTCATGTACAGGATTTGGGGCGAGGACGTCTGTTGGTCACTAAAGGTCACTAAAGATACATTCTAAGATCCTCTGAGAAAATGGGAGGAAGTTTTACCTCTAAATTGTCTGGATGTAATTTGAGTAAAATAAAAACTGCATAAAAATTAGGTTAGTGAGAGTTGTTTTGGTATTTGCTGAGGTGCTGCTGTAAGCTTATTAACTGTAGACAACTGCTCTAGGTGGTGGAAACATTCTGTTGTCAGCCAAGAGCAGTGATGGTGACTGAACTTGAGCCATCTGTGGAATGCAGAATTTTAAAGAATAAAGGGAGATTAGAACACCAAAGCGGTGTCTGATCACTGTGCTGTAACGGACTCATTGTATTCACTTTCCAGTCACACGATTTTCAGCTTGACGAGCTTACAACATTTTTTTAAAAGGTTAAGTTTTTTAAAAAATGAATTATTCTTTTAAAGTGGCCATCCTGACATGCTTCCAGATGACTTTCAGGATTTTTTTTTCTTTGATTAGAGAGAGAGATATTTTAAAGAATCTTTTCATGTTGGAATCCTTATTTGAGGGTTCTTACGTTTTGTTTGTGGTCTTCAGTGAAGTTCTTATATCTTCTTACTGTAGGTTCTGCATATTGAGATTTTTTTCAGTGGCACTATGCAAATAGAGATTATGAATGTATTATTTACTTCATTTTAGAGTTCTTACTGGATATTCCTGCTGTGTAGGGAACTTAATGACTTCTTTATACTAGCTTTGTATCTGGCCTCAGTTAAGCTGTTATGACCAATAGTAATTAGTTGATTTTCTTGATTGTCATGACTACATTACAGTGTGTCACTTTCAAATAATGAAAGTTAATTTTTTTTTCATTATTATAATTTATTTATTTATTTCCTTTTTTACATTTTATTAGGGGCTCATACAACTGTTATCCCAATTCATACACACATCAATTGTGTAAAGCGCATTTGTACATCGTTTCTCATAAGAAAGTTAATTTTTGTAAACTATTTTTACTTCATTTTCTTTTCTGATCATTTAGACTAAACTTCACCAATGATTATAGTGGTAATAATAGTTTTTGTTCATGGCTACTGTGATAATGAATAGTTTTCCTTTCATGTGTCATTTTTATCAAGAAAGTTTCCCCTTTTCTCCAACCCCCAGGATTAATTAATAAAAAAAGAGTCAAACGGAAAGGACTTCAGAATACCATGTCAGTTAGACTTCCCCCTATAACAAAGTTTGCTGCGGGTGAGTCCGTTCATCCTGTGTTTTGAGAAATTCTGCTCTGTCATTTATTTCCTATGTTATACTGTTTCACTTCTTCCATTTCAAAAGGGGCCCCAGTACGTGCTGATCTCAGTGAAGACTGAAAACGAGTGACGTAGAATGTATACTCGCTCTCATAGTTTCAGGGCTTGTTCTCATTTCATGGTCTTTGTTACAGACTGTCATGCCTGATGTAATTAATTGAAGTCATTGATGTAGAAAGATGAAATGGAAGAGCAAACCATGATAACTTAAAGCTCTTCTAATGTAATCAAGAGCTAAAAAGAGGCAATTTAAAGGAAAATGTAGATAAATCATGCAGATTGAAAACTATCAGAAAATTTTCTGTTTCATGGTTACTTTAACAACCTTTTCATTGATATTTCTTAATTTTAACCTTGACCTCTCTTCTGTCTGTGTGCTTTCTTACAACGTGGATTTTTATAATTGCATATCTGATCATGTCACTCTTCTGATAAGAAGTTTTCAGCAGCTGCTTAGCTTTTAGGGTGAAGTCCCTGTTCCTTAACACGGCTTTCAAGGCGTTTTGTAACGCAGCCCATGTTGCCTTGCACTTTCCTACCCTTCTCAAGATGATATGTTACTTGCTGTGCTAAATTTTGCTCAGTTAGTCTGGAGCACTTGATTAACATATCTTCTCATATCTTCAAATCAGTATTTCTTCTATGATTGGACGCTCCATTGATCCCAGTGACCTGCTTATTTTACCATTAGAGCAAAATGCAATATAGATGCTCAGTAAATAACAGGTTAATGAATGAGGTAGTGAAAAGCAAGTTGATTTGGGGTTTTAATTGTTTTAGAGGAAGCTCGTGAGAGTGAGTGGGACGGTGTCATTGCTTGCCATCAAGGGAAGCTGTCTTGCTCAACCTGGAATTATCAGAGATCTACAATAGGCACTTACTTTCTCAAGCCTAAAGAGTTAAAGACAGATGACGTAATTGCAACAGTAAGTGAACTTTTTTAAAAGGACTTTTTCTCCTTCAGTACTATTCTATGGTGTTGTAATAACTCAAGTATGCTTGTGATAGAACATAGTTGTACACTTTGAAATCATCCCATAATGGTGTTTGATTTTCTAGCTTCTAAAAAAAGTCACATTTTAAGTTGAAATGAACTTTTACTTAACTATACTACTTTATTAATTTATCTGGTTACATTAATTTTCTAATTAATTCAGGATTACTCAGTGTACACGTTAAAGATGATTTCAGCATTTGTTTTTATACTTTCTTATTTGAGTTATGTTGCATAAAGCACTATACCTAATGAATGTGGATCTTAGGTCTTGTATCTTTTTTTTGTCTTGATGTATTTAGCTAAATCTGTAATTCACAAAATTTATCTATCCCCTTTATCTCTAGTGTCTTTTATTTCTCTTTTGTCTCTAATGTATTTCACATTAGAAATTCTGATTGAGTTCTGTCTGAACTAGTTTTTAATATAACTTCAAAATGCCGATATTTACTTACAAGTTCTTACTCTTGAAATTTATTTTTGTCCTCTTTTTTTGAGTATCTAAGGTACCCCTCGAAAGTTTGGTGGTTTATACCCACCATTCACTTCAAGGAATAAAAATGGACAACCTAATTCTATTTAGATCAGTGGTTCTCAACCTTCCTAATGCCGCGACCCTTTAATACAATTCCTCATGTTGTGGTGACCCCCAACTATAAAATTATTTTCGTTGCTACTGCATAACTGTAATTTTGCTACTGTTATGAATTGGACGACCCCTGTGAAGGGGTCATTCAATCCCCTAAAGAGATTGCGATCCACAGGTTGAGAACCGCTGCTTTAGATTTACAGCCTCAGAAACCCTTTGGAGCAGTTCTATGTCCTGTAGGATTTCTGGGAGTCAGAATTAACTCAATGGGAATGGGTTTAAGTCTGCTGCTTATTTTTGTCTTGCGTCATTTGTGTTTAAATTTATTGTACTCTGTTTCGTAGGCAGTGGATATAACATCCTGTGGCAACTTTGCTGTGATTGGACTCTCTTCAGGATCTGTAGATGTTTATAACATGCAGTCTGGTATACATCGAGGCGCTTTCGGCAAGGAGCAAGGTATTGAAGTCGCCCTTCTTTTAAATGCCAAGACAGATAAAAGGATAATAATATTTATCGTTCACTTCGATTGGTAGCTACTACAATAACACTTATTGTAAACCCTGTGTTGGAATACAGGTGGTCCCTAATTTATAATGTAGTAGAATTAAAATTCACTACACTGACAATTGATTATTCTTTGTTTTTGACATCTTATCATTATTAGTTTGTGCTAAATACTCTGTTGCGCTAACAGTTTACCCCTGTCATTCTCATATGTTCACTCATAGATGTTGGAAGTGTGGATATGTAAATATATTAATAATGAAAGGCAATTAAAAGGTTTTTAAAAGGTGGGATGGAGAGAGCAGTATTTGAACTGACTTACAGTGGAGTCGTCAGAATGGCAGCCCGTTGTAAGCTGGGCAGTCCCCACACTCAGAGTAAAATAAAAAATACGTCAGAGAAAAGTAGATATCATGCAAGCTAAGTTGTTTTCTTCTTGCTTTCATCTGGAAAATCTTACAGGAATGTTGTTCCTGGTATCAACCTGATAAATGCTCTGGTGATTGATTACCTGAGCATATACTATTTAAGACTATCTACTTCAATTCTCTGGAATAATTCCAAGGCTTTAGAAGATAAAATAATGGGAGCTTAGCTGTTTGGAAAAATGAATTAACCTTTAACATTCAAAGAGGCACCACCAATTTAATTTTTCTTTTCTCTTAACATATCTTTTAAAGCTCATCATGGATCTGTTAGAGGTGTTGCAGTGGATGGATTAAACCAGTTGACAATTACAGCTGGTAGTGAAGGATTACTCAAATTCTGGAACTTTAAAAACAAAGTTTTAATCCATTCTGTGAAGCTCGATTCATCTCCAAACATGATACTGCTACATAGGGACAGGTAAAAAAAACAAACAAACAAAATTAATAGTAATGATGAGATTTTTCTCCTTGATATATTAAGTAAAAATGTTTGATTTAAATATACAACATAATTTACCAAATGGGGAAAATATCAAACTGCTTTAGTAAAGAATAGTGTATTGCATGTTTTCCCCAAAAGTAAATTTAGCAAAATTAAAGTGTATGTAAAATTGAGTTCAGAAATTGTTTGTTTATTAAAACTTGTGCATTTCTTTTGCTAGTGGCATTCTGGGACTTGCCTTAGATGATTTCTCCATCAGTGTCCTGGACATTGAAACTAGGAAAGTGGTCAGAGAGTTTTCCGGACATCAAGGGCAAATAAATGACATGGTAAAGCAAGCTGTAGATAAGTAAAACTGTTTATTTTTAACTTTATTTGGGTTTAACCTGCTTAAATTATATCTTATCCTTTAATAGTTGTACATATGTCATTTACAAGGGTAAGTCAACAGCATTGATATAAAATCAAAGTAAAATTTTCCATTAAACAAAATTTCAAAACATGAAGCTCTGATTTCCCAGCAGATCTTCAATTTAGGGCTATATACGTTTTTTTAATAAATTGGTCTATTTACTTTTAAAGGCAGTTTCCATTTCTTTAACCCTTCTGCAGAGGTGTACTGGTGTTGATGAGGATTATGAGTTGGGCAGCTAACTGTAAGGTCAGCAGTTCAAAGCCACCAGCCACTGCTCAAGAGAAACATGAGGCTTCCTGCTTCTGTAAAGAGTTAAAGTGCGTTAATCTGGTTTCATCAGATTAACGCACAGAGCCAGTTTTGCTCTGCATTTTAGAGTCACTGTGAGTTAGAAACGACTTGATAGGGTCTTCTTTTTTTTGTACCTGTCCCCTAAATTCTACACTCTTGAATTTAGACCAGTCAGAATGGCAGTTCTGGCTGAGGGACTGTTTTTAATGTGCTCTGAGTTTGAAGAAGCAAAAGAGGTTTTAAGGGGCACGATCAGGATTATAGGGTGGATGAGTTAAGGTTTCCTAAAGAAATTTTCGTAGGACAGCCCTTGAAGAATGAACAAGTGCATTGTTGTAAGAAAAATTTCTCAGTGCAAGTTTGCTGTCCTTTTCCACACCAATACAGTTTTCCATTTTCTAAACAAGTCTTCATGATCGTCCTGTGTTGTTTGATCAGGATTATCCCCTTATTACCCTCTAACAGGTCATTGTTACCTTCTCAGTTGACTTACTCTGCGTTGAGTATTGGAAACCACTGTTTTGATTAGACTTTTTGGCTACAGCCACCCACTGATCACAGATATTTAAACACATCATGTGTGTATATGAAATAAAATTCTACTGACTAACCTTTATATTATTTTACCATACATGAGTTGCAGGCCAACTTAACAAATGAAAGATTTTTAAGGGAAATTTAGATTTTTAAGGAATTTAATATTTCTCGGGAAGCTGGTTTCATCAGATTAACAGTAGGAATCCTGGACTTTGTATTTTTCTTTTAAACTCCAAACGAGACTCACATATTCATTCTATTTTGGAAAATGAATGGCCCATTGATACCTAAATAAGTAATCTTTTGCTTAGATATGCTGAGGGAAATTTTTATCTTGCATACATAATGTAATAGATTATGAACCTGGAATATCCATACTTGATTTACTCTAATTTGGTATTATTTCTTGAGACTGTATATCTTAACTTCAAATGAATTAAATGAGAACCTATATGTTAGTGTGCTGGGTTATTATAGTGAGATATATGATATGGCACATACGGTTTTAAAGGTATATGCCACATTAAAAAATCTTGAAATTTATTACTTGAGAATTAGATTTTAAAAATAAAAAAATAAAAATAAATTTCTATAGCAAATCCAGTAGCTACATTCATTTATTAGCCCTTACTGTAAACCAGAATTGTGCTGAACATACCCTGTTCCTTAAAATGAACTAAAAAAATTGCATTGTTCTGCAGATTAGTATTGACAAAATTACCCATCAGCAGTATTTGTTGTGGTAGCATCTGAAAATATGTGGGTGGGCGTGGTGTATTGTGAAGAAGTGGCATTTTTTCAAAACATCTGTCAGTATCAACTTGCTCTTTCTACTTTTGTCCTTTTTATACTTTCAACCTGTGTGTCTTGAGTATGATCACAAACATTACTCTTGGTCAGTTAAATCTATTGTTTATAGCATCATCCTCTCAATCATTTTCCCCCATCCTTCATTGCTGTACCATCCTTCAGTAAATTCAACTTTTAGTACCTTGAGGATGGAATTTTCACAATACAGATTTCAGCCTGGCGAACAAATTAAATGTTCACATACCCCTAAACGGATGATCTTAATCCCTGTGGTGTGTTTAGACCATAGGTTCCCAAATTTATTTGGCCTCTCACCCCTTTTCAGGAAAAAAGAAATTAATGGAGTACCCCCTAACAATTAAAAATTGTTTATCCTGTAGTCCGTGCTCCGCGATAAAGTGTAGGTATCAGCTTTTACAGCCTCCCTGTATCATTCCAGTGGCCCCCCAAGGGGCAGTATCACCCACTCTGGGAAACTGCTATATACTCTTAGATAAACAGTCTACGACCATGATATACCTTAGCGGCTTGGTGTTTATTTCACATGTGACCTCATCTAAGCCTCGTAGCTTAGATGCTGTAGGCAAGGTGAGCTGTTTACCCATATATATATATATATATATAAATAGGACTTTGTAGATATATGCCTGAATCTGTAAATAAGAGAAGAAATGTCTAAATTAGTAACTTTAATATTGACAATTTTTTTTCTGCCCTCAAAATCATAATGGTTTGAGTCAGTTCTTAGAAAGTCAATGTAATTATATACAATGTAATTACACCAAGGGAACTTTGCTTTTGGTACTTTCACAAATACATTAAAATTAGTCTTATAACTTCTAATTCAGTATTTTCAGAATAGGATTTTTAATGTTTAAACTTTGTAGTGGAATATTATTGGCTTGTTGTCTCAAACAAAAATGATTATGGGATACAAATTAAAAATTGACACGATAATCTTACTTTTTAACATTAACAGTTTAGGTTAAATCTTAATCCTCATCCAAATTTTCATCAGTGTTATGTAAGACGTCTATATACCACCACCCTCCATAAAGCAATCTAAATTATTTTCATTCAGATTTCTTAGTTTTTCATAAGTGTATCTTTTTATATCTTGCATTCTTTAGTCTGTACTTAACATATAAAACTATTTGTGCATTTATCTATTACTTATTAATTTCAAGGCTTTCAGTCCTGATGGTCGTTGGTTAATAAGTGCATCGATGGATTGCTCTATTAGGACTTGGGATCTTCCATCTGGATGGTGAGTTTATTTTTAAATCTCCAGCCTCTTTCAGAAAGTTTCTTAGTATCTTTGCATATGTTTTTCTTTTCATCTGTAGTTAATGGATTATTTATTTTTCCTTTGTAAAATTTATATTGTTATTAAGAATATGCACAGTAAAATGTACACTAATGATCTCAACAGGTACAGTTCAGTGACGTTGATTCTAATTTTCACCCTTCTTTTTTGAGATATTACACCATCATTAGCATGAATTCACTGCCCTCTAAATTGCTCTTGTCTATTTGATTCCATATAGATAAGTTTTAAAAGACTGTAATGCTCAAGGCAGACCATTTTTTATTATTTAAGCTAAACTATTGTTTAGTTTTTGAAAGAACTTCAGAGGGTGTTCTTGATTTAATGTTTGAAAGTTATGTTATTTGAATATGAGTCTACGTGAAGGCTTTCCTAACCTCGCTGTATTTTGTTCTTAGAATGGTTTTCATTTCTAAACAGTATGGGATATTGCTTTAAAAGGTGATAGCTTGAACACATACCACCTCTCTTTATTTTCTGTGCTTGTAAAACAGATGTCAAAGTGAGTTGCCTAAACTTACGAAAGCTCATTTAGCATTTTTGATGCTCCCAACTCCAAAATAGAACTCAGACATTAGAATCCTAAATTTATTTAAAAGGTCAATCACCACCACTTCTTTTTCATATATTATGACTCCTTCAGCAAAATTTTACTTACTGAAGAAGGAAGTCATAATATGTTAAAAAAAAAAAAGCAGCAGCTGTATTTTGGCAGAGATGCCAGAGGTTCAGGATGTATTAAGAGGATGTGGAACAATGGATTTCATTGCTGATGTCAGATGGAACTTGGCTCAAAACATAGAATACCAAAACAATGTTTACTTTTGTTTTCCTGATTATGTCAAGGCATTTCAACTGTGTATAATAGCAAACTATGGATATAGAGTTGAGAAAAGAGGAAATTCCAGATACTTCATTTTGCTCACGCAAAACCTGTTCTTTGATCAAGAGGCAGTTGTGCAAACGGAACAAGGGAATGCTACATGGTTTAAAATCAGGAAAAGTATGCCTCTTGCCATACTTGTTCAGTCCAATATGTGTATGATGAACAAATAATCACAAAGCTATATTGTATGAAAAGGAATGGAGCTGGCTTATTAATAACCTGTTAGTACATAGATGATCCAACCTTGCTCAAAATGAGGAGGACTTGAAGTACTTGCTGATAAAAGATCAAGAATTATAGCCCTTAGTATGGACTACAACTCAATGTAAATAAGACCAAAAGCCTCACAAGTGGACCAATGGCAAATATCATGATAAATGAAGAAAAGGTTGAAGTTGGCAAGAATTTTGTCATAGTTGGATCCACAATCAGTGCTCATGGAAGCAAGAATCAAGACATAAAAAGACCTGTCTCTGGTAAATCTCCACAGGACCTCTTTAGAGTATTGAGCAGGAAGCTTGTTCCTTTGAGGACAAAGGTGTGCCTGACCCAAGCCATGATACATTTTGCCCTATATGCATATGAAAATTGGACTTTAAGGAAGACAGAAGAAGAATTGATGCATTTGAAAGTACCTAGGACTACCAAAAGGACAAATAAATCAGTGTTGGAAGAATTATGATCAGAGTGCTCCTTAGAGGCAAGGATGATGGCAAGACTTGGTCTCAGTATTTTGGTCAAGTTGTCAGGAGAGATCAGTCCCTGGAGCAGACATAATGCTTCGTAAAGTAGACGGGCAGCAAAAGGGAGGAAGACCCTCAATGAGGTAGAATGAAACAGTGCCAGCAGCAATGCACTTAAACATAGGAACAAGCGTGATGAGGATGGTGCAGGACTGGATAGTGCTTCAGTCTTTGTGCATAAGGTCCCTGTGGGTCGGAACCAGCTGGATGGAACCTTACTTACAACAATGACTTCTTAGCCTCTTGCAGAAGTCTTAGGTACATTCAAATGGCGAAAATGTGCTTGGAGAAAACCTAGCATCTTAGAATTCTGTTTTATAGGTTGTGCTTTTATAGCAGAACTTGAACACATTACATAATTTTGCAAAACGTGTGTGGTTTTGTTAAAGATTTATGTTAGAACCCATTTCTAAATCATATCACTTAGATTGCAATTGCTTAGCTAGAGTCTGAAAGTGTGGTATTAATATCAAAGCATTTAATTTAGCAAGAACACACCATGAAGAAAGAGCTCAGTGAGAAAAGGGAGGGTGGTGTTTTCATCCTCTTCAATATTTCTACATTAAACTCTGCCCAACTCATTTCCTCTTGCTTTCTCAGGAATGGGATAAGCTCGTATGTGAAAGCAGTTTGACCTTTAGAAAGGAAAAACCCTTATGTCATCATTCCCTTCAAATTTGCTATAGGAATGGTGTACACCTGTCTGTGAGCACCGTGTATTTAGAATATGCACAGCAAAAGTAGTATTGCTAATGGGTGTAGCTTTTTAAGTAGGAACTTTTGTCCACAGGTGTGTCTCATTTTCAAACATAAGATAAAAAACGAGTCCATGGTCTATTCTTATGCTCTAGCATCAAAAAGTTCATCCAGCATTGCACATTCTTAATTAAAAAAGAGAAAAGCTTTCAAGGACGCCATTGCAATGTTGGTGGTCTGTTCTGTCTTGGCCTTTAGCTGTTTTATAGAAATGAGCATTGAAGTTGTGCAAAGAATAAGAATTGCCATAATGCCCTTTTTATTTTGCTAAGAGTTCTAAGTCAGCTTAGGTAGAAGGGCTCTGTCAATCAATGTTCAGTAGTACTAAATTTGCAAAGTACTTTTGTTTTTAAATGGCAGCTTAACTTTGGAATGAAAATTAGGATCTGAAAGTAGCATTCAAGACCACTAACCTTTGACTCAGCATGAACCGTTTTGCTGAATTTCTTATTTCATAGTAACGTTGAAGAAGTTTCAACTCTAGTGTCTTTACCACTAAACTAACATTTACTATGCCTGCTAGGCAATTTATTTGCTTTAATTTAAAGGTGTAGGTACTATTACTGTTTCTATTTCATTTTTACAAAAATGAAATGGCGACTCGGAGGTTTAATGATTTCCCCAGAAATAAGCATCAGAAAAAGAAATGCCTTCTCAATAGTTGTGGTACTTCTCTTGTATACTAAGGATGTGTACTTAGTAGATACTCTAGCGTACTAAAGATGGATTGATTTTCTTGAGTAATAGTAAAAACTTAGGTTATGCAAACTAAGTAAATTTAGATAATGTCCCTATGGCCAAAAAACCAACTCTGTCCTTAGTGTAGGAGTGTTGGTAGTGTAGTGAGTTATGAGTTGGGCTGCTAACCTTAAGGTCAGCAGTTCAAAACCATTAACCGCTGAAGATGGCGCTCTCTGTACCCTCAGTTACAGGCTCAGAAATCCACAAGACCAGTTTCATCCTGTCCTGTAGGATCACTTTGAGTTGTAATCGACTTAATTGCAGTGAGTTTGAATTTGAATCCTTTGAGTATTGGAAGTACTAATTTAAATCAAGAGTATTGGCGAAATTATATGAGGACCAGAGTAAAATAACTTACATTTTTCCCATTTATGAGTTGTATATTATTAGGATAGACATTTATCAAAGATTGTAGGTAGCTGTTGACCTTTTCCATTTTCTTCCCTTTATTTAAATTTGATTAGAATGGAAACCTTTGGAAATTCCTAGTTCTTTCATCAGTAGGCAGTTGCATCATTTATTTACTATCTTAAATATGTGAAGAATGAGCATGCTCACCTCGTACTTGGAAAGTGAAACTGAGTAAGCCTTTGGGTGTGGTAACATTCAGGTGTACCCATCTGAATGAAGATCTGCTCATCTAAAGAAAGATACGTGGGTGCTAGACTCTCTCCCTTAATGTTTTTTAAACGTTCTTAAGTGCTATTACCCTCACCCCCACCAACCCCTATTTGTAGAATATTCAGGACAAAGTAGAATTTTTATAATTCCTGAATTTATGTGCCATTCTTCTACCACTATTGCCCTTTTGTTATTGCTAGCGTTTTTTTGTTGTTGTTTTGGGGTTTTTTGTTTTGTTTTTGTTTTTAATGTATTTGGAACTTTAGGTTGAATTCCTTGGGGAATAAGAAACATAAAAGTTAAATATTTAATTAAATAAAAATTAAATTACAAGAATTTTACATTTTGTTTCAGTCACACCCTGCCCTGCTTTCTGAGGACCTTTAAGTGAAAATAGTAAGAATAAGATATTGCTTTAAAAAAAAAAAGATATTGCTTTTATGCTGGGGCAAAACTTCCCTTTGTTCTGCTTATCAAAGATTCCTGGGGAAGGTAGTTCTCATTTTGAAGATAAAGCATCTGGACACTGCAATTATTCAAAATAATAATAAAAACTTTTAGTAAATGTTTACTGTGTATTCAGTGCTCTGTGCTTGAAAATCTGATCCCTTCTGATGGGAATGTTATTGGTGTTCCTCCTAAAACAGAAAGGAAGTCTACGGGGGCCCATGACATTTTGTGGGCACAGCAGGAGATGGTATGGAATTTCAGGGGCAGGGTTAAGCATGCACAATATGCTTTTTGAGCTAATGTAACAGTGTAAAAATCTGCTGTGTCTGTGGAAACCGCCTTCCGTAATTTGGTGTTTTAACATAATGGAAGGCCAGTCTACCCACACACAGCAGCTGTGGAAATAAAGTTGCTCAGTGTATTTGACAAAAGAATTATAGTATCTAGTAAAGGAAGGTTGCCATTGAAAATGTTATAGTTCCATTTCACATGTTTAAACTTTTGATAAGCAAATATTGATCATAATGAAGAATTAGTAAAATCTGAATTTATCTTGTTTTGGGTTGAATATGTGCAGATTGGGATAAAGATATCTTCTGCTCTAGGCTGTTTTAATGCAGTGAATTATAAATAATTTAACATAATCTCTGGCATATAATAGGCACATAGTGAATGCTTTCTTTTCCAAAGAGAAGCCATTCTTTTGAGTTTTTAAGCAGAAATCTGACTGGTTTTTCTCTATAACTGATGGGCCCATATTTTTGCATTTAACCCCACAGAGCTATTGCTTGTGTGCATGTATGTGCATAGCATATGTAGGAAATTGAGGGAGATTTGCAATTTGAGGAGAAAAAAAACATATCCTATGAGTTCGCTAGAAATACAGCAAGCAGCAGCCTTTGTCTTAAGCACACTTGGGTATGTTTTCGTTTCCAATGCTTTTAATTTTGGTCTTTCTATCTTTCATTGATTAATCTTTGCATTGTTAATGGTTTTCTCAGCGATCGAAATAAATTGTTTCCTGAAAGCTTAAAAAGTCACTGCCACTGGAGTGTCTTCATTTGCATTTGAACTTATCAGAGTGTAGTACATGAATCACCTGTGTGGGTGTCCCCTAGATGCGTCCATGCTGATTGTCTATTTCGTGGTGGTGGTGATTTAACCAGCAGCCATCGGGTTCAGAAGGAGCCCCCGTGGCACAACAGAGATGCACTTCATTGTTAGCCAAAAGGTCAGCAGGTGGAACCTGCAGCTGCTTCTGGGTCACTGTGTTAGACAGGGTTCTCTAGAGAGATAAAACCAAATTGTTGCTAATTTAATATATTTATTTATAAAGATAATTAGATATATAACAAGAAACAAACTGTTAAATCATATGCAGATAAATATATAATACAAGAAATAAACAGTTAAATTATAAAGCACTACAAATGGCTCAGTGCAACTCACGTCCGTGAGAGAGAGAGTTGTGAGAGACTAGCAGTCCTTCAAGTCTAGTCTGCTGCCAGATCTTCCTCTATACAGAGAGAGCTAGGCTATCTCAGCACAGCAGCCAATCAGAAGGCAGGTCACCAACTGCCAGCCAGGTCACCAACTGCCAGTCCCCAGCTCCAGAGATGTCTTAAAGGGACCTTCAACTTACAGCGACACAGTCCACAGGCTAGGCGTCCCACAGGTAGTCTCGCCTTTAAATTGAGGCACAGGACAAGCAAGGCACTGGTCCAATGATCAAAGAGCGAGAGACAAGATAGGCGAGACTCACCAAGCCATTTATCTTTCGCCCTTCAGTTAATCCCACTTGTGTTTATCGGCCAGGCTGGCACAATAAATATCTCAGTCACTGAATTGGAATCCACTCAGTGACAACGGTTTTTTTTTGTTTGTTTTTTTAATATAAAGCAGATTTCTTGGGCACAAATTCTGGCTTGTTTGCTGTCTGCCTTAACCAGGTTTTTAAATGTCTTTGGACCGCAGTCTTCTACCTCACAGGGTTGTAAGGATAAAATTAGTCAAAAGTGCTTGGGATACTTTTAGCATAGTGCCTTAGAAAAACTGTTACCTGCCGTTATTTGTTCTTGGAATTATTTGCTTTATTTGATGTACATCTTGAATTTTAGTAATTTTGTTCTATTTTCCCATGACTATTTTATTGAATTCAGTGAATAAAAAGCTTAAACTCACTGTCATTGAGTTGCCTATGACTCATAGCAACCTTACAGGCCAACGTAGAACTAACTACCTCTGTGGGGTTTGGAGACCAAAAGTCTTGTGTTTCTCCCTCAGCAATAAAGCTATGTAAAAAGCAGTTTGGATAAAAGGCAGTGTACTTTTTTTGAAAGTATTCCTAGGACAGTGATGGCCAAGTATTTCCACTCTTAGCAGCCTGAAGGGCCTTTCCGTTTGCTTGGTGCCAACATCCTGGTTCAAATCTTCATTGCTTGTTAGATGGCTGCTACCCTAATCTCATTGTACTTGCTCAAACACACTTGCATTCTGATGGCAAATATTCTTATGCAGGTGTAATTACACCAGGATCTGCCAAAAAGTGAATAAGGATTTCCCATTGACTGGCAATCAGCTTGATGGCAGTGGGCATAGTTTTGTGGTATTAGGAAAAACAAGCTCATTTGCTTGAACTCTAGACTCACGTGCAGCCTCATGTTTAGTCCCAATCCCAGTAAACTGCACTCCTCACTGGGCCCAGTTGCTTGTCACCTTTGCCTTACCCTGCATATTTTCCTCAGTCAGTAGTGCTTTCTTGACTGTCATCATTCAATGTAAATCCATCCGTTTGAGGATTTGCCCCAAACATTGTGCTCTCCGTTCAAGTTTCCAAGTGGGTATGATCACCTCCCAACCTTTGGACACCCCAGCAACCATTAAAAGTTCTGGAACCAGTTTCCATAAATGGATTAATCACCAAGTCTTTACCTGACAGCCATTTTGTTTTGTTACTTCTATTGCTTTATTATTTCCATTGTAATAACAAGAAGATACCGATCTTAAATATCATCAGAGTTGTACCCCCAAGTTGGAATATCAAAAATTTGGCATTCCAAAAAGAGTGTTTCCTCCCTCTCCCTGTGATTGTCTGTTAAGTATTCTGTCTTTCTCATTGAGACGTAGGTTGGTCTCACATAGTAACGTAGTTGACAGAACTTTGGTGTTAGTGATGACTTGCTGGGATCAATAGTTTGGAAAAGCCACAACAGAAATTAACTGCATCCCTTTTTCTTTTAGCAAAAACATTTTGGGTAAATTTATCTTTTTTGTTTTCTGAAGATTTTAATACTTGAACATCAAAATTCTTGTTACCAGCCTTATAGATTGCTTCTTGGTGGACTCTGCCCCTCTCAATGTTACTATGTCCCCTACTGGAGACTTCTTGGCCACCTCCCATGTGGACCAGCTTGGAATTTATCTATGGTAAGTTCTTTATGAATTGACTTGATGGCAGGGAGTTTTATTTGTAAGTTCTTTCCTACAAGCCTACTGTTTGGGGATCTAGAGGAGCAAGTGGTGAAATTGTCAGAGTGAATGGCTAATGTTGCCTTTAAGGTTTTATTTTATTTGAAAAAAATGAGAGTATCACCCACTTACACAGGTAGTGAATTCATCTTAGATTTATGCTTTGCTGAAATGCATATTCGGAACTGCATGACTTGGATTTTTACAAAGGTCGGTGAACAAATGATAACCGAACTTTTGTAATGGAATTCCCTGTTAAACCTTGGTCTTCCTAATACTACTCTTCACCACATATGACTAACTTTGCCCTACTTTGTCTGCAAAAGGAGCCCTGATGGCATAGTGGTTACAATTTGAGTTGCTAACCATAAGGCCAACAGTTCGAAACCATCGTCTACTCATCAAGAGAAAGACAAGACTTTCTACTCCCATAAAGAGTTAAAGTCTTAGAAATCCACAGGGACAATTTTACCCTGTCGTGTAGAGTCACCCAGAGTTGGGATTGATTGAACAATGAGTTCACTTGTCTGTAAGATAGAAACCAGTTTGGGCAAATTGCTTTCTAAGATATTTGGTTCTATTAGTCTTTATAAACATGTAAAGATATTTTAGGTGAACTTCAAATTCTATGTTGAACCTATGAGACTATCAGTTATAAATAAGCTTGTATACAATTTTCTTGTGATACTATCTATGACAAATCAAGGCATTATCAAATTATTACAATTAGTCTATCTTTGAGGTTGTAACGTATAATGCAGCCAATCTCAAGATTTTGAGGATTACTAACAGTAGCAGTTCCTCTGAGAGGGGGAAAATGCTTTTATTCATTTTTAAAATACTTCTGGCGTTGTTTTGGTTTCTTAGGTCCAATATTTCTCTGTATTCTGTTGTCTCATTGCGGCCACTTCCTACAGATTACATTCCTTCAGCAGTGATGCTTCCTGGCACGTGTCAAACCCAAGGTAATCATAAGATAAAATTGATTTTGAGATGATGTTAACTGAAATACAGTGTAGGCGGCTGTTGCTACTGCAGGCAAAATGTAGTGCGTTCAATCAGTGGTTTTTCTTAATTGATAAGTACTTAAGAGTACCTTCATGAGTTTATGCACAATATAATTGATGTGACATAAGATCAAATAGTAGGCTAATGAAGGAATGTCTTGAGTCCATATGAGAGTAATAGTTAATATGAGAAAATAAGAAAATGAGTTTATGACTATCAAGTGAATGTGTTGTAAAATCCAATGGATCTGGAGTAAATGAAATCGCTTATATAATAAAAAAGTCTCATATTTTGCATAAATTTATACGCTTGAAAATTTTTTTGTTTTAGATGTGGAATTATCAGAAGAAGCCATAGAACCAAGTGATGAAATGATAGTTTATGAATCACCAGAACAGTTGAATGAACAATTGGTGACTCTGTCACTCCTCCCTGAATCACGATGGAAAAACCTCCTTAATCTTGATGTTATTAAGGTAATACTGTGATATACTTGGGAGCCTTGTGGTGTCGTGGCTTACACATTTGGCTGCTACCTGCTAGGTCAGCAGTTTGAATCTACCACCCTCTCCTTGGCAGAAAGGCTCTCACCTTTCCTCTCACAAGATTTATACCCCGGAAGCCTTATCCCCTAGGGTTGATAAGAATAAGAATCAACTCAATGCAGTACTTGAGTGTGGTAGCTTAAGGAACCCTGGTGGTGCTGTAGGATAAACTGGGCTGCTACCCGCAGCTAACCCACTAGCTGTTGTTTTTTTTTTTAAAGATCATTTTGGGGGTGGGGGGATGACTCTTAACAGCTCTCATAACAATCCATACAACAATTTTATCAAGCATATTTGGACTATACATCTTTTACTGGAGTAAACAGCCTTGTCTTTTTCCCATAGAGTAGCTAGTGGGTTTGAACTGTCAACTTTGTGGGTAGCAAGAACCCATTTCATTGAATGCTATTTATTCTAGTATATTTTTTACGACATTTGCACATGTGTACAACATACACATGGATATTTAAGAGCACCTAGTAACCCTTAAAAAGTGGATGCAATGTAAATCCAACCGAATAAATTGTTCTTTTAGTTTCTGAAACAAGAACAAACAAGAACTAATTTGTGGTATTTCTAGTGCTAGGCATTTGGGAACCCAGAAATGTTTTCAAGAAGCTTTTGTTTCATTAGGTTTCAGTTAATTTGTCATCCCACAGCCTATTTTGCCAACTGCAGAGATTGTTACACCTCTGTTTCAGGACCAGACGCTTAAGTTAACATGAATGGAAAAGCAAATGGACAAGAACTGTTTTTAAAGCAAAAGATTTCCACACTAAAAGAAACAGACTTTGATGTTGCGGGAAGGGAGGGCAGAGGAAGGTACCGGCTGGAGGATAGATAGGTGTTACCTGGGTGACAGGTGACTCTCCAACTAGAGCAGTGGTCTCAACCTTCCTCATGCCACGACCCTTTCATACAGTTCCTCATGTTATGGTGACCCCCAACCATAAAATTATTTTCGTTGCTACTTCATAACTAATTTTGCTACTGTTATGACTCGGGCTACCCCTGTGAAAGGATCTTTCGACCCCCAATGGGGTTGCAACCCACAGGTTGAGAACCACTGAACTAGAGGAAGGTGGAGTGAAAGTAATAGAAACATGGGGCAAGACAGTGGGAAACAGGATGAGTTGATGAATGGAAAACTGATGATCTGCTCCGTAAACCCTAACCTAATTCACAATATAAAAGTTGAAAAAACAAAAACTGAATCCATTGCCATTGAATCAGTCTGACCCTTGGTCAGACTCATGTATTATATAGTCGATCTGCTTAATAGGGTTTCTTGCATATAATTGTAGAGGCAGATTACCAGGCCATTCTTTTTTTAATTAAAAGATCATTTTTTGGGGGGGCTCTTACACCTCTTACAACAATCCAAACATCAATTGTATCGAGCACATTTGTACATAGGTTGCCATCCTTCTTTTCTAGACATTTACTTTCTATTGAGCTCTTGGTATCAGCTCCTCTTTTTCCCCCCCCTCCCCATCCCCACTCTCGTGATCCCTTAATACATTATAAATTATTATTCTTTTCATATCTTAGCACTGTCTCCCTACCTTGTGGTTTCTGTTACGTGTCCCCCTGGAGGGAGGAAGGCCTTTCTTCTGTGGTGTGGCTGGGTGAGACTGTACCACCAACCTTACATTAGTCATAGTCAGTCCAACCATTTGTGATACCCAAGTACCTCTGTACTTACAAATATTGGCGCCAGGATTTCAGTATATCTTTTAGGAGCAAACAGTTCTGTTGCATTTGCATGACACAGGTCTACATCAGGAAGTCCTGGGTCAAAGATATTTGACATTGATCAGAGTGGCATTTTATTTTAGCATTGCAATCAGAAAGGGTTTCAGATTATTAATTAGATTTTTAATACTGTTGCTTACTAATCTTTTTTTTTTTTACTTTCCATTTTCTCATAATCAGAAAAAGAATAAACCAAAGGAACCACCTAAAGTACCAAAATCAGCACCGTTTTTTATTCCAACAGTTCCTGGCCTTGTGCCCAGATACGCTGCACCTGAACACGGAAATGATCCCCAGCAGGTAAGGGCTCAACTGGAGGATTATCAAAGGATGGTGCTTTATGTGTTTTATATGTTTATATGTGCTGCTCTGTAGTTTATATCAAGACCTGGTTTTGCAGGTAGGTAATAGATTAAGGATAGCATTAAATCATCTTGTTGACCCTATATTCTTTGAATAACATATATTTCTTTTTGTTTAAGTCAAAAGTGGTTAACCTTGGAATTTTGGCTCGAAAAACGGAGTTCTACTTAAAACTTGAAGAAGGATTGGTAAATAATAAATGTAAGTTAAATTATAAAGTATTTTAATAAGTATCTTCAGCTTGTACTTACTAAACTTGTAGGTAAAAGAAACATCTGGTTACTCTTTTGAGGAGGTTAATAAAACTAAAATGATTGAAATTTTAGTTCTTATCTGAAGTAGTTTTAGCTAGTACTGACCTAACAGTTTGGAATTAAAATCAGATGATATAATTGAGGACTTTCAATAACTTTCTGAATCAGAATTGTGAATTTCTTGATATTTGAAGATGGGCACACACATACCAACATTCAATGATCAGAATAATGAATAACTAATAATAATAAAGAGGGCTTTCTCGGTGTGAGATAAGTATAAACTTTCATTGTCTCATTTCTCTAGCAGATAATTAGCAAGTCTTTGTTTTTAATTTAAAAATGCAATTTGTAGTATTGTAATACTACTGGGTCATTTTCAAATATTCCTAAATTATCACATAAAATATTTTTAAATTATTGGGTATGTTAACATTTCTAAATTTTGAAGGCTACCATCTGTAGTTAATGATGAACATTGAGAACTGTGTGCAGTTTAAAAAAAAATTGATTACTCCTCTGGGAAATTGGACTTATTCCATTGTTTTATGATCCAAATAATTTTGCTTTCTTACCATTATCACTAGAGTCCACTTTACAGAATTAAAGAATTATACTAGGAGGTCTTTGAAGATGACCACTCTCCCCACCCCACCCCACCCCACCCCACAAAATCAGGATCACCACAGGAATTGAAAAACTCAAACTCACTGCCATCAAGTCAAATCCGACACATCATGACCCAAAGGACAGTGGAATTGCCCCAGGTTCCAAGACTGTTAACTGTTAATGGGAGTAGGAAGCCTCATCTTTCTCCCTTGGAGTAGTTGGTGGTTTTTAACTGTTGACCTTGTTAGCATTCCAACCTATAACCCACTACTCCATGAGGAATAGATAAGTAAAGCACTATTACTAGTCTGACTGGGGGATGGAGAGTAAAATTTGTTAAATTTTTGAATGTTGATAGCCCCCTTTTTCCAAAATGCATAACCGCCATTATTGCCGCTTAAAGGCCTCATATATAAAAATGGTTGTAAATGTACTGAACAAGTTTTCATAGGATGTATACAAACAATAAGGCTTACTTATAGGAAAAGAAGTTATTTTAGAATGGGTAAGACTAAGGAGTGTTCTCTTTGCCCTTTTTTCCTATTTCTGTGCTCCTGTTTCTTAATGTGGCAATTTTTTATAAACAAAAAAAATTATAACAATGAAAGATAGTCTCCGTTCACATCCTCAGTTGTAACCACTGTTAATAGTTTGATATGTTCTTTTATAATCTTATTAAGATTTTCCTTGGTGTACAAGCATATTAACATTTCTATTATAGGCATTAGATTTTTTAAAAATCGTTTTATTAGGGGCTCATACAACTCTTATCACCATCCATACAAACATCAGTTGTGTAAAGCACATTTGTACATTCATTGCCCTCATCATTCTCAAAACATTTGCTCTCCACCTAAGTCCCTGGCATCAGCTCCTCATTTTTCCCCTCCCTCCCTGCTCCCCCCTCCCTTATGAACCCTTGATAATTTATAAATTATTATTTTGTCCTATCTTGCCCTGTCCGACGTCTCCCTTCACCCACTTTGCTGTTTTCTGTCCCCCAGGAAGGAGGTTATATGTAGATCCTTGTCATTGGTTCCCCTTTTCCAACCCACCCTCCCTCTACCCTCCCGGTAACACCACTCTCACCACTGGTCCTGAAGGGATCATCCGTCCTGGATTCCTTGTGTTTCTGGTTCCTATCTGTACCAGTGTACATTCTTTGCTCTAGCCAGATTTTCAAGGTAGAATTGGAATCAGGATAATGAGGGGGTAAGGAAGCATTTAGGAACTAGAGGAAAGTTGTATTTTTCATAGTTGCTACATCGCACCCTGACTGGCTTGTCTCCTCTCCGATACCCTTCTGTAAGGGGATGTCCAGTGGCCTACATATGGGCTAAGGGTCTCCACCCTGCACTTCCCCCTCATTCACTATGATAACATTTTTTGTTCTGATGATGCCTGATACCTGATCCCTTCGACACCTCGTGATTGCAGAGGCTTCCATGTGGGCTTTGTTGCTTCTGAGCTAGGTGGCTGCTTGTTTACCTTCAAGCCTTTAAGACCCCAGACGTTATATCTTTTGATAGCTGGGTACCATCAACTTTCTTCACCACATTTGCTTATGCACCCATTTGTCCTCTGCGATCGTATCATGGAGGTGAGCACACAATGATACGATTTTTTGTTCTTTGATGCGTGATAATGGATCCCTTCGGCACCTCGTGATCACACAGGCTGGTGTGCTTCTTCCATATTGGCTTTGTTGCTTCCCAGCTTGATGGCCACTTGTTTACCTCCAAGCGTTTAAGACCCAGATACTTTGTCTTTTGATATTTGGGCACCATCAGCTTTTCTTTACTAGCTTTTTTAAAAAAATTATTTTAGTGGGGGCTCTTAAAACTTTTGTTACAATCCATACATCAGTTGTATCCCACATATTCGTACAAATATTCCATCGTTCTTTTCTAGACATTTACTTTCCATTGAGCCATTGGGATCAACTCCTCTTCCACCCCCCCACCCCACCCCACCCCAACCCTTGTAGCCCCTTGATTGTAGATTGTTAATTATTTTCAAATCTCAAACACCGACTGCCGTCTCCCTTCATCTCCAGTTTCTTTTGTTCTTCTCTTTACTAGTTTTAACAGCAGAAAAAGAAATTAAGGAAAATATACTTAGAAATATATTTGGTACTTTAGTGCTTTTATTGTGTTGCTTTCATTATGGGTACTAATTTTCAATAATTTGGGGAGTTTGCAACTATATGAAAAGCATAACTCATGGAAAGAATTCCTTGTGCTATCTGAAGATATATTGCTTGAAGTATTGTTGAAAACTAGTTTCCTAAGTCTAATGGTTGTAGATAATTCATGGATTTATTTTTTGAACTTATTGCAGATGAGCTTGCTGTCAGTCTTCTGAAAGAATTGGGCCCATCAGGAATTGAAACTGAGCTGCGAAGCTTGTCTCCCGACCTTGGTGGGTCTGTAGAAGTCATGCAGAGCTTCTTGAAAATGATCGGGGTGATGTTGGATAGAAAGCGTGATTTCGAGTTAGCGCAAGCATACCTTGCTTTGTTTCTAAAGGTGAGTTTTATGTAAGTAAGACAATGCTTTCCATTGTTGACAAGCTGGGTTTTCTTTGCCTTCATGTTATTTTTTTTAACTTTTTATTGTAATTTGGGTGCTGAAAGTTTACAGAGGAAATTGGTTTTCCATTCAATTCTTATACATTTTGATTTATATAATTGGTTGTAATCCCTTTAATGTCACAGCACTATTCCCATTTCTCCCCAGTGTTTAGCATTTAGTAGAATTTCCTTGAAGATGGAAGTGTTCTGTGTTTGCTTGTCCAAGAGGATACAGTGATGTGTGGCCACTGGGCACATGAAATGTGACTACTGTAGATGCCATTGAGTCAGTTCCAACTGAACGACCCTGTGTACAACTCAGGAAACACCGTCCAGTTCTGCTGCAGCCTCACAAGTGTTGTGGAGCCCATCGTTGCATCCATGGTCGCTCCACCTCCTTGAGGGCCTTGCTCTTTGTCTGTGCCCCTCTCGTTTACCAAGCATGATGCCCTTCTCCAAGGATGCTCTCTCCTGACAAGATGTCCAAAGTACATGAGATGAAGTCTCACCATTCTTGCTGTACTTCTTCCAAGACAAACTTGTTGGTTCTTTTGGCAATCCATAGTACTTTCAATATTCTTTGACATCATAGTTCAAATGCATTGATTTTTCTTCAGTTGTCCTTTTCATTGTCTAACTCTCACATGCATATAAGGTGATAGAAATACCATGGCTTGGGTCTGGCATATCTTTTTTTGTTGTAAATCATTTTAAAGGGGCTCTTACAGCTCTTATAACAATCCATACATCCATTGTGTCAAGCACATTTGTACATATGTTGCCATCATCCTTTTCAAAACATTTTCTTTCTACTTGAGCCCTTGATATCAGCTCGTTTTTTCCTCCCTCATGAACCCTTGATAATTTAAAAATTATTTTTGTAGCTTACACTGACCACTGTCTCCCTTCACACACATTTTTGTTGTTCATCCCCCTGGGGGGCGGGGGGCGGTTATATGTCAGTCGTGGTCGGTTTCTCCTTCCCCCCTTCCCCTACCCTCATGCTATTGTTACTTCCATTATTGCTCCTGAGAGGTTTATCTGTGTTGGATTCTTATCTGTACCTGTGTACGTGCTCTATTCGGATTCGTAAGGTAGAATTGGGGTCATGATAGTTGGTGGGGAAGGAAGCATTAAAGAGCTAGAGGAATGTTGTATGTTCCATAGGTGCTATACTGTACCCTGGCTGGCTCGTTCCTTCCTTGTGACCCTTCTGTGAGGGGATATTCAATAGTGTATAGATGGGTTTGGGGGTCTCTATTCTGTTCCATCCCATCCCCCACTACCCCCACCCCTCGCTCACATAGATATGATTGTTCTGGGTCTTCTGATATCTGATCCCATTGACACCTCATGATCACACAGACTGGTATGCTTCTTCCATGTGGACTTTGTTGCTTCCCAGCTAGATGGCCGCTTGTTTATCTCCAAGCCTTTAAGACCCAGACACTATATCTTTTGATAGTTGGGCACCATCAGCTTTCTTCACCACATTTGCTTATTCATCCATTTTGCCTTCAGTGATCATGTCGGGAAGGTGAGCATCACAGAATGGGGTCTGGCATATCTTCCTCCTCAAAAAGCAGTACCTTGCTTTTCAGCGCTTTAAAGAGGTCCTGTGCAGCAGATGTGTCGTTTGATGTTTTGACTGCAGCTCCATGACCATTGATTGTGGGTCTAAGCACAATGAAATTCTTGACTTACCTTTGCTCCATTTACTAGGATGGCCTCTGTTGGCTCATTTGTAAGGATTTGGGTCTTTGCAGTGAGTTGTCTTCCATACTGAAGACTGCAGTCCTGGATTTTTACCAGCGAGTGCTTCAAACGTGACTAGTGTGACAAAAAAACTGCATTTAATTTAAGCCTAAATAACCACACATGGCCAGTGAATAATCCTGGACAGGACTTTTTTAAATAGTTAGATTTTAGAAGATTTTTTGTGTTCTTAAAGAAAAGATTGAATTATATGTCTTTGTCCTCTAGTGATGACATAAAAATATTTCCCTCTAGACTGGTAGAAGAAATTTTAAGTGCTATGACAATAAAAGTGGTCCGTTTTGTGATCATTACTCTTGAGAACTTATATCTCCAAGGTCCACATAGGTGGTTCAGTAAGTTGAAGGAGGTAATTGATGGTGAAAATGAAGATTTTAATGAAAATTGATTGATTCTTCATCTTTGCCATTAATATCCACAATGATCTGTTACATGATATACTTATTTTTGAGGTAGGTATTTAAATGTTAGTGTATGCATATAGAGAAATGCCACAAATACTTTATCTTTTCCCAAATTCTCAGAATTTTAGTCATTGGATATGGATTTATTTAAATATGTAGAAAATACAGCAAAGTGCCTGCCATTTATCATCATACAGCGAGCTGTATGAAAGTAGAAACTTGTATTTGTTATTGTGGATTCTGAACCATAGTGACCCTGTGTACAGTGGACAAAACACTGCGCAGTCCTGGGTCATTCTCACAAGTGGCGTTACGTCTGGGGCCCTTGGTATAACCACTGTGTCAGTCCATCTCATTGGAGTTCTTTTTTAGTGACCCTTTACCAGCCGTGATGTTCTTGTCCAAAGACTAGTCTCTCCGTGGAACACACCCAAAACACATGAGGTGAAGCTTCCCAGTTTTTGCTCCTCTTTGGAACATTCCAGGTGTACTCCAATAATTTGTTTCTTCTTCTGGCATAGAATGGTATGTCCGCTCTGATTCATGAACACCATGATTCAAATGCATCAATCCTTCTTTGATCTTCTTTATTCCTAGAATGTCAGGGTTGCAATCCTTTGCCATACTAAATTACTCCGTTTGTATGCTGAGCATATGATTAGAGAGGTTGTGTTATATGGAGAATAAACTGGGCATGGTAATTGAGAAAGGCTCCAACCTGCGGCATGCAGATGACAGAACCCTGCTTGCTGAGAAGGAGGAGGACTTGCAGCCTTTGGTGTGCATCGCATCTCAACGGAAGGAAAGGCGACTGCACTAAGGTATAACAAACACCATGATAGGTGAAGGAAAGATGGAAGTTGTCGAGGATTTCGTCTTGCTTAGTTAAAAGATTAAATGATGCGTTTCATTGGCTAAATCTGCTGCATAAGACCTCCTTAAAGTGTTGAAAGGGCAGAGTGTTATTTGAGGACTAAGTTGCCCCTGACCTAAGCCATAGCATTTTCCATCATTTACTGTGCATGTGAAAGTTAAACATTGAATAAGGCAGACTGAAGAGGAATTTGAATTATGTTGCTAGCGAAGAATATTGAAGGTACCATAAACTGACAGAAGGACAAAAGATGTACAGCCAGAATGGTGTTTATTGGTGAGGATGGCGAGACTTCATCTCGTATATTTTGGACATGTTGTCAGGAGAGACCAGCCCCTGGAGAAGGACATCGTGGTACTGTAGAGGAGCAGGGAAAACGAGGCAGGCCCTCAAAGAGTGGCTGCATGCTGGACTTGGAACATAAGACAATCATGAGTGTGGCACAGGACTGGGCAGTGCTTCTGTCTGTCTGTTGTACTTAAGGTCCCTATGAGTCAGAACCAACTCCATGGCGCCTAACAACAACTACATTGTCCAGCTTTCACATGCAGATGAGGCTACTACAAATAGCATGGCTTCTGTCTGGCTTCACCTTAGCCCTCAAAGTGATACCTTTGCTTTATGACTGTAAAAGAGGTCTTTTGCGACAGATTTGACCAATGCAGTACACCATTTGGTTTCTTGAATGCTACTCCCATGGGCATTGATTGTGGATCCCCCAAAATTGAAATCCTTTGACAACTTCAGTCTTTTGGGCGGTTTATTATGTTTCTTACTGGTCCAGTTTATCTTTGGTTTTCTTCGTATTATAGGTTGAGTCTTCCTCCAGTTCTGAGTCCTACATATAGTCTGGCATCTTGGATGACTTGCTTGCAGTAGACCTTTTGAATCAGTATGGCGAAAAGATAATCCCTGCTTTTAAACCATGGAGTATCTCCCTGTTTGTTTGAATGGCTGCTCCATTGTACATGTTCTAAATGAACTTAGTTCATAATATGTTGTAATGCACATAGTTGAATGCTTTTGCAATAAAACACTAACATCTTTCTGGAATTCCTTGTATTTAGCCAAGACCCATCTGACAGTAGTGATGTCCTTTATTCCATGTCTTTTTCCCTTCAACTATCTGCATCAAAATTTGACTTGTGTGTGAAAGTAATGATGTTCAATAATTTCCTCACTATTGTATCACTTTGCTTGGCACTGGGCACAGATCTAGATTTCTTTTATTTTCCAGCAGTCTTCTAAATGTTTGGCCTAGATACCATGTATACTCGTGTAAAAGCTGAGTTTTTCAGCGCATTTTAAATGCAGTTTTTGTGATAAAATTAGGTGCCTCAGCTGATATTCGAGTAGGCTTATACTTGAGTATGTACGGTAAATGAGTGTCTGCAGCATTCCAGTCATTTGTTGGAACCTATTAATTGGTATTTAATGAATTCCTGAGCCTTATTTTTGACCAGTGCCTTAAAGCATAATTTGGACTTCTTCAATATCATCAGTTCTTGATCATAGGCTACCTCCTGAAGTGTTTGAAAAATGACCAACTGTTGTCCATACATTGACTGCTTAGTCCTTTCATTTTCTTTTGATGCTTCCTGCATTATGCAATATTTTGCCTATAGAATTCTTCAGTATTGCAGCTAATTTTTTTTAAGCTCAAGAAATGTCAAGTGTCTTCTATGCTTTCTGATTTTCTAATGTGCCAGGTCTTCTAACATTTTAGCCTCTCAGGCTGCCCTGTGAAAGTGTTTGTCCAGTCCTCTTAGGTCATCATTTTTTCCTTTCACTTTCGTATTCCATGTTGAAGAGCGCGTTTCAGAGTCCCTCTGATACCCTTTTTGAGCTTTTTTCCCCTGTCATTTTAATGACCTTTTGCTTTCCTCATATGTGATGTCCTTGCTGTCATCCTACAATTTGTCTCATCCTCAGTCCAAGTTCATGGATTCAGACTATTTGGTCTCTAAATTCAAGAGAGGGTTAAGCGGGCTGTAATGCGCTTCTTGTAGGGTGTTTCTCTTTCCTTCACCTCCAGCTTGAGCTTGCTTGTCTGTTCCAGTCAGACCAGCCTTCTTCTGATTGATGATGCTGAGCTGCTCCATAGTCTCTCCCACGGATGAAGTCAGCTTGAGGCCTGTGTATTCCCTTGATGAGGTCCTCGTGTATAATCATACTTTGGTTCTTGAGAAGTGGTATTTGCAGTGAATAAGTTCTTGGTTTTTCAAAATTCTATTACCGGCATGGTTTTTTTTATCACCAAGGCCATATTTTCCAACTGCTGATCCTTTGTTGTTTCCAATTTTTGCATTCTAAACACCAGTAATTAACAGTGAATCTTGATTGCCTACTTGATCCAACATGAACTGCAGAAGTGGTTAAAAATCTTTAGTTTCTTCATTTGTAGTATTACTGATTTTTTAGTCAATTTGAATGGTTGTGTTAACTATCATATACTGACAGTGTATTAGCTTGTTGACAGTGTTGTACTTGAGGCTGGATTTTAAAAAGTTATTTTGACAGTGAATGTGTCCCCATGACTCCTCAGTCTGTTATTCACACCCAGCCTAACACAGGGTTGTCCCGTTCCGACTGGACAATATCAGTCCATTTCAGCTCCCTGATTCCTAGATTATCAGTGTTGACACGTTCCATAGCATTTCTGGCAACCTCCAATTTTCCTAGATTCATTCTTTAAAAATTTATGTTGCCATCATTAATGGCTGTTTCCAGCCGTTCCTTCTCATTTGGGGTTGGCTCTCATTTGATGAGGTGGCTCTTTCTCATTCGTATTTCAATTACTTTTCAACCTGAGAAACTTCTGGTACTCCACCAACAAGGTTCTGCTGTTAGCCGTAAGATTCCAGGGGCCAGTTTCTTTCAGAAACAACTCCCCAGGACCACGCTCTTAGTCTTTCTTACTCTGGAAGCTCTGTTGAAACCTCTCTACCATGTGTGACCCTGCTGGTGTTTATAGTGCTAGTGGCCTACGTCGTACGTCACAACTGCTTGCAAGCTACCAGATGAGTGGTGGAAAAACTTCTAGAAACACTGGAGTATGGATTTAGTGTTAAATTGTCTTAAATTCATTTTTCAACCGTCATTTTTCTTTGCAGTTACATCTAAAAATGCTTCCTTCAGAGCCAGTACTCCTAGAAGAAATGGAAAAGTTGTTACCACAAGTGGAAGAAAACTGGATCCATTTACAGTCACTCTTCAATCAAAGCATTTGTGTGTTAAATTATATTAAAAGTGCTTTATTATAAAAATTAATGTAAGGGTCTAAATAAACAAATGACTTTTAATATCGATTAGGGTACCTTTAGCTCATAATCTATTTTCCAAGATTAAAGTGAAGAGAAAATAAATGCCACCTCTATTGTCAGTAATTCTTCACCTTAAATATTAATACTTCCTTGAAGTAAAGTTGCCATTTAAAGGTTTAAACAATTAACATACATATGTGTGTATGTGTGTGTGTGTGTGTGTATTTTTTTGTCTGGGTCTCTTCACCTCAGCTACTTGTATCACTTTGGGAACACTACCAGTTTGTTTTCTGAGTGTCTTACCTGAAAGAGATGCTGGGTGTTGAGGGAACAGTACTGCTCAATTAAATGGAAAATGCCTGCTCCGTCATGTTAGATACGGGGTTCGTGACGTAAAGGAGAGGAATGCTTCCTCCCTCAGAGGCTGTGGTGAAAGCGGAATCATCCTAGAGAAGGAAAGGTGGTGAGAGGTCTTCCAGTCCAGCCTCTCCTGGGGCAGAAGGGGAGCAGGCGAAGTCCTCCGGCATCGCAGTCACCGATCCAGAATTTCTGTCAGTCGCCTAGTGCTTCTTTCCCCTCAAGCCCTTCTAAAGGAGTTGACCTTGAATCTGGAATGTGGGAAATAGTTGTTGAAGGCTAATTGCTATAGGAAAAGCTTGAGCAAATAGCTAGAGTAGGCAAGGGAAATTCCACATTCCTTTGAAGGTTGACCTTCAAGGTGTTTCTTGCTTTGGTGAATCTTAATTTGGGAAGAAATTGCTGACTGTGCCCTTGGCTCACAGCCATTTCGAACCGAGCTCTGGTATTTCCTTGGATTTCACCATCATTGCATTCATGGCTCAAGACTTTAGCAATACCTGAATTGAATAGAAGTCATTCGTAAAAGAGCAGTGCCCTGGAACTGATTTTTAGTTTGCATATTCAAATGTGTCATTTGCAAAATACTGGCTTGTTGCATTTGAACATTAAATGCCATCAGGTTCAATATTTGGTCAAAAGTTTCACAGAATCTTATGAAAGGAGAAGTTTTTATGTGAAGATGACCAAGGATGTCTTTAATATTGAAGGATTTTATTTAATGGTGTAAGGTAGAATTAGTAAAATAAGCAACTAAGATTTTGTACTTAATTTTAATTTTCTTTAGAAATACATTAAAACCACTGTTAATGATTTAAGTTCTCTAAAAACTGTATGGTCTTTCTCAAATGCTGTATTCCAAAAATATGACAATAAAACCATGTACTATGTAGAGATTGTAAATAACTAGAAGTAAATACTCAGAGCTCTGAAGTGATATTTTATAAATCATGAACTAGACTTTCTTAGAATACAGAAGTTGAATGTTTTTACTGGAGATTATTTTTACATGTTTTATATTTTGGAAAGTAATGTTCAGTGCCTGTTTTGTCTAATTGCAATGGAGGGAGAGAGAATGAGAGAAATACAAAGTATAATTTTGGGGTCTAAATTTGTTCCTTATTTGTAAATATATTGCTATCTGACATTTCATATTTATGATAAGAAATTACCCAGCCTTTGTGCGGTAAGGAATGTGGAGGTGCTTGCCGATGTGTCGGCTTGGCTGAGCCATGATTCTCAGTAGTTTGGCGTTATTGGCATGTAACAGTTAGGTAATGATGTCGTCAGTCCCCATTCTGTGATCTGATGTGTTCATTATCAGTTTTCACATAATGCCTTTATAAGATAACCGTGTCAGTAAGTGAGGAATGGGCGCTTTGTGTTTTGTCCATAATGTCCTGTGTCTGACAATAATGAAAACCAGCGTATAGGAGAAGGGTGGCTGTGATGATTAAGGTCATCTGTCAGCTGGGCCATTCTCTGGTTTGGCGATTATGTAATGAAGTAGACATCTTCCACGTATTGTCATCCTCTATGTTGGCCCAACGACCTGGTCTTTGGAACCTAACTATATTGATTGCTAAGAGATAGGTATATATTTTTCTAAAAATGTATCAATCTGTCCATACTGCTTTCTCTTTAAGTTTTAAATTACTCATGTAATTATGAACACATTTTATACTTGTTAAAACATTGGAGACAAATTGTTTCTGGCAACAACCACCTTCCATCCCAGTAGTTTCTCAAGAAACCTCCAGCCTTACAACTCCCCCCAAAAAACAAATGTATCCTGGAAGAAGTACAGCCAGAATGTTCCTTAGAAGCAAGGACTTTGTTTCACATACTTTGGACATGATATCAGGAGAGACCAGTCCTTGTTTCTGTAACTGATTACTTCTGCCTGTCCAGATTAAGTGAATAGTTAGTAGGTTTTCCATCAATTTCATTTCCAAAGATATTCTGCCAAAGTAGCCAATGCCTTAAGCTCAGGAGTCAGACTGTTTGACCATGAGTTAGTTGGATTCACCTCTTTCAGTGTAGCCACACTCTCCTCTCAGTTGATTACTTGCTGCCATTTGGTGCCTACTGACACAGGCCCAATAAGCCCCATTACATTGAGTCGTTTTAATCCAGTTAGGGCAGTCCCCATTGTCAAGTCTGACACCCCAGTTTCAAAGACTCTGGTTCCCCGCACAAAATTTATAGTTACTGCTGTGATCAAAGGTGTGTCCTCTGGGTCTATGGGCCTAACCTGATCAATCCACTCTAGTTACCCAAGTTTTTCGACAAGCCATCCAGTCAAGTCAGGTAGTTCACCTTGATTTATTGGAGGTCGCTGTTCATGCTGCAATAACCAACTAACCAAACTCCAGATTTCTCTGATTTCTCAGGGGACCAATTGAGAGTCTGTTTAGTGGACCCACATCAAGAAACCCAGATTAATCCAACTGAATGTCACTTGTATCATTATCCTACATCCTTAATAGTCATTCCCACATGGATTCTCCAGGCTTCTGTGTGTACATAATAAAAAAATCTAGCAGCTCTCTTGGAGTGTAGCACACCCCTCCCTGGGTTACCATGTGTACTTCACTTTGGGGACTTGCTTGGACTTAAGTCTAGTGGTTTGTGTAGAAGCAATAATGGGTGATGGGGTTGTTCCCTGGGGACAATCAACAATGCCTTGTCAGGCATCTGCTTCAAACAGTGCTCCAGAAAGTACCCCAGGTCCAGATCAGCATACACAGTTGGATTAATTTCTTCAAATGTGGGTAAAAGGGATAATGGTTTCACTGATCATGAATTAGCAGGCAAAGGCGGGGCAATTTCTTCAGACAGAGGAGTGGTACTATTGACGGAAGTGATTCGATGGAATTCAGTGAGAGAATGTCCCCATGTTCCTGATTATCTGCCCGTGTGCGCCCATTCCAAGTGTCAGCGTCCAATTTCTTCCCAATTAAAGCCTCCCTTTAACATTAGACATCACTCGAGGTTTGATCATTCATTTGTCATGGTAATTCAGCTGTTCTTATGACTGTGTTTTGTTTTTGTCCATATCAGTTCAGTTACTATAAGAAGGCTTTCTTTCAGGACACAAGTGAGATTTTGAAGTCTTGAGGTGATTGAACAGTGCCCTCAGCATCTTTCTTACCACTTTATCTAAGAGAACCAATCAAATAACTCCCTGTTTTCTCATTAAAAGTATACAACTCATGACCACTGAGAACCTCACTTCCCCCAATACTTATTGGTTGTGTTATTTTGTGCATTAATATCGGTACATCACATCATGGATTAACAGTGCTCTCTACTAATGAGAGCAGTTATCAATATGAGTGGGGGGGAAAACTACCAATGCTTTTAAAAATGTTCAGGCATGAGAATGTTCAGGTTTAGAAAACACAGGTGGAAGGCTGTCTGCGGTTCAGGAGAGGCTCAGTGAGACCCTGGCAGTGTGCAGAGAGAAGTGAGGGAGAGAGCTGGCAACATAATGCCCTGTGCCCACATTTTGAAAAGGAGGAGTGGGCTGCAGCACTGAGAGGGAAGAACCGGGCAGTCGGGAATTTAAGCCTGTATCCAATGTCAATATGAGTATGTATCCAAAACGCCTGAGCTAATGCGGATGCAGATACTTTTCCTTTGGCTTTTTGTGTTAACCCAAGAAATGTACTGGTCTGGAGCTCGTGATGAAATTTAATCAGTTATAAAATCAAACGTCCTGTGGGCTTTGTTTCCTTGCCCAGTGTTGGTGTGCTATGTTGTGAATTTCCAAATCCATTTAGGCGCATTTCCGATTCCTGTTGAAATTTCTGTGTCCCTAAAGGGGTATGTAAAATATCCAATACTTACTTTTCACTCCTATTTTTTTAAAACCCCAGTGGCTTGCTGTTCACCTAAACAAAAATCATGGTCTAACTCCTAGACACGAGAATTTTTTAGCACTTTCATTTATCTGCTACCACAGCCAGGAACATGATGTCAAAGCAAACTGGTTTGGGATGTGTTAAACCTGTCTCCAGGATCGCTGACTGAATCCCAGGGGTCTAGCTCCTTTCTTAGGACTTCCTTCACTTCCCAGTCTGGCGTCGTCCTCTGGTCCCCTTTTCCTTCTCGCCTACTTCCTGGTGTATGCCTTAAGCCAGGTACACTTGTAAGTGGGTGAGGGATCTGCCTGGCCCGGATTGATCGTTAAAACATAGATTCAGCCTAGTATTCGAGATCACCGGTGATCCACATCTGCTGGCAGTCCCCATCCCTTCCTTGCCCCTCCCAGCCCCGTCCTGTGTTCCACCAGTGATTTATGCATTCTGGCTTTACTCTGTCTCAGATGCTACTTTATGTTCTTGAAAGATTCAGAAAACAAAACATGTGAAAGTTCGAACCTTTTGGGTTTACAATTCCAGTTGTATGTGCTTTGGCTTGGCCAAAGGAAACAAAGATGATGAAGTTATTTCTCAACCTGAAACAGAGAAAGAGTGGCATCCTAGAGTTTTGATTTGAAAGTGTGGTTTGCGTGTGTGACTGCACAAGTCATCAAGTGACCTATAAATATATGCAAGGGGACAAAAAATTCATGGAAAAATTCCATGATCTTTAATTCCATTTTTTTAACACACTTGTTTCCCTTCATGGTGTATAAATCTTTGGCCTTTTGATTCCATTTTCCCACAAGCTTTCTAAAGCCCCCTTGTATGTGTGCCTGCCTGGAAGAAGCTGATAGGACAAAATGCCTCTGCAGCGTCACTGC